CGGCTACTTTGTGCATGACGTTCCCTGCACCTTTCACTGCGGTACCTGCAGTTGTACCTGAAAATATGGCCTGTAGCAAAAACAATCAATTACGCTGCAATCTGTGATATTCATATGATAATTTGCTCAATTTAGCAGCAATTCAAAAAATGGTTCTTCAACTCTGCATAGTTGGCAACTTTCTTGTTGCTAGTGGAGAGTTGACCGGTTATCCTAACGTTTATTACGCGTCATTACATTTAAGCAAATGCAAAAATGCATATTGTGATGACACATGGTGCGTGCATGCTTGTGTGTGTGTGTGTGTGCATTTTTGTGTGCACGTATGTAAGTGGGTGTATGTGTCTGTGCGTCTGTCCGGGTATTTCATTTCAGCAACCAAGCAAGCTTCGACGCTGAAATTTTGTAGTGGTTCTTCGACCAAGTGCAATCTAGAATCGGGATATCAACCGTCAAGCACATCCGTGCCCGCGTATGAGCGCATAAAAGTTGTGGCAGGAAAACTGCCAAGTTGGATATCAGAAAAACTGAGAAGCTGAAATTTTAAGGGATGTTCCCAGCCTACAAACAAGTTAAAATTTTCAGATTCAGCCCTCAAATATGCATGATTTCACGTATGGGCACTTATGAATTTTGACGAGGGAACTGTGCACTGAACAGCTAGGTCACTTTTCAAAAAGCCTCCTTCCGACGGAATGAGGCATTCCAGAAATATTAAATAATAGGGTAGAAGATAAGGGATCAGTCTAAGTATCATGCGCCAGAAGATATATGTATATGCAGACTGTGTTTCACTGGAAAGTGGTGTTGGTGTCAGTAAATTATTGAAAGAGACACATGGTCTAGGTAATCCCATCATAGTTTAGGTATTCTTAGTATTTACCTCACATATTTTTTCACTTTCTTTCATTTTGGGCCAAATAATGAGCGTTTTAAGAATGCAGCTGATTATTTAAATGGCATATGACAATGATTAACCGACGGCAAGCGACAATTGGCGTAATTTTTGTAGCTTCAAGAGCCAAATAATGTCGGATTATATGGATCAGTTGAAGGGCTTACCTGCAGAGGTCATTGCACTACCGATGGTTTTCTTTCTCTTGGAAACTGTTGCTGTCACATCTTCAAACAATTTTAGCATTTATAGTACATGAAGAAGCTTTCTCAAAAGTTTTTCGTAAAATACGCAATGTCATGTAAAACGCGTAGCACCACGTGTAACGTGCAACAACACGTGAAATACGAAATACAGTGTTTGCAGCCAGCGTTTTTGCTTTTAATAACTCGGAATTAGCTTTTTGCAGCAACCACTCGTCTTGTCTTTATTGCTTCTAAGATTCCATTCTTTGCTTTTGTAGATTCGATTCACTAAGAGTTGCGTTGATTGAAAGAAATGGACCGGACTTCGCAGTAAGTTTTGAGGACTCCGTGGCTTTCCTGTAGGTGCACTCAGTTTGTTCTCCTCCGGAAGCCAGTGAGTCGCTCCGTAACAAATCCGACTTCGCAGAGCTTTTTTTAAGCTCGTTTTCTATTCTGCTGCCTATTTACAACTTGTCCAATGGGGTCCCAGTGGTCATCTGCTACTTTCTTATAAAAGCTTTGCTCTAGATTATTCTGCTGGAAGTTTTTGTTAGTTATTGGTTTCTTTTGCACAGAAAGCGACACAAATCCAAGAATTCCTGACAGAATTTTTTCTGCATTGGCAGCTTTGCGAGTGCTGAATTCTTTGAGGGAGGAAAGACGGCATCGACAATTCTCGAATTCCATAATTTGCAGCATTCAGTTGCATGAGCTGCGTGGGGGCATCTTAGTAACGTAACCAATGTCAGTTAACTGTGCCGATTGTCTTGGCTGTTTCTTTTTTTTTTTTCATAAACTCAATTTTGTTCGCACAGAGCAATGATCAAAACTGTCAGAAAAGTTGTGGGTCACCGGATTTTATTACTGGTGTCGAGACTACTAAATCTCGAATTGCCATAACTGTATAAAATATGTATTTTTGACAAACGTGTGGATGTTTACTACTTGTTATGCCCTATTTCCTTCCGCGCAGCACTGTCCTTTTTATGTACTTTTGTCTTCAACAAAGGAAGATGCCGGATCAACAACGTCCAGATGTTACGACGGCGCTTATCCTTTCTTTCCCCTTTCTTACCGTTTCAATGGATTCGACGGCGACGGACGGCGGACGCGACGACGAATGGACGGCAACGACGGACGATGAAGCGACGAGGAGCTGATCATCTTTTCTTTTACTATTTTTTAATGCATTCTTGTATCCGAGTATATTCGACGTTATTCGTTCGTGTCGCGCGTATTCATGTATGATAAAGGTTATATTAACCAAGTTTGAGGTAATCGACGATTCAACGAGTGGGTCTGCGGTTGGTTAATACTGAGCGACGGAACAAAGTTAGCTGACCAAAGAATCAACGCCTGGTGGTATTCACACTGTCTTTAAGCCGCCAAGGTTGGGGATTTACCAATATTTGCTGGCAGCATAATTAACCAACTAGCGCACTGAAGATACTTGAGGAAACGAACCAGAAGTACAATTTAATTATTATTGTTGTGGGGCAAAGCGACCTAAGGAACCAAAAAAGCAATTCCTCCTCCACAACAACTGGCTGATTTGAGTAGCAGAAGAAAATGCAAGTTTTCGTATTCAGTATTCGTAGTATGTCTTTAAAGTTGTCACTATCTTTCAAAAAGCAGCCAGTCCTCATTTCAAAGCGTGAACCCAAGAACGAAAGTTAATTTTACATGCAATTCAAGAAAAAAGCTTGAAGAAATTGTTCACCTGTAGCACTATCAGCCGTTACGAGGTCAGTTGCGCTTTCGCATTTTCGAGCCGTCTCAGTATCTGTAAGCTATGACTGTTACAGAACAGTAAGGACCGGTAAGAACTGAAAACCCGGGTAGCTGAAGTTCTAACGATGCTGCACATGCCAGGAAAACAAAACCGTCATCAGCCTGCCTTTAAGCAATCCTCGGATGACGGAACCACCGACAGTTTTGACAGCAGGTGGTTGCTGTTGGCATCTGCGGCTAATTCCGAGTGTCTTCGCTTGTGGAGAAGCGAAGTTGACTTCCGACTAAAGGAAAGAACAAAGAAAATTTCCC